GGTCTTCCCCTGCACCTCTCCTGGGCAGCAAGCACAGTAGAGCTCACCCTGTCGGTGGAGGTGTGGGTGAGCCAGCCCCGACGCTGTGAGCATGGGAGAGCTGTGCCCACTATCGATCTGTCACGTGACAGCGTGGGGGCCGAAATGCTCCCCATGCCCGTCGATGCCGGAGGCAGCTGGGAGAGCTGGCCCTGAGACCCTAAGAGTAGGGACTCGTCCCTGCCCTTCATCAGCTGCAGCATTTAGGAGAGTGCCCCCTACACCTCACCTGGGCAACACAACGGAGCCGGCCCAGAAGGTGCAGGAGAGCTGGCCCCGCCCCTTGCTCATCCCTACAAGGGGAGAACCAGCCCAGGCAAGGCTCGAGAGCTCGCCCTGGTGGTGAAGACAGGGAGAGCCAGCCGCCTGACCAACCCTGCGACTACCCAGGCCTAGAACGAGGGTTATATTCGTTTGTCCGCCCTAAAACCCACTCCATCTAGGATCAGCGGGAGAACTGGGGCGGGATGGGGCGGGGAGGGGGGGTGGGTCCTGCAGACCCAGGGCTGTAGGATCTCCACGACGCAGGGCAGCAATGGGATGTCCAGGAAGGATCCCAGTGAGGGCCCAGCGTTGATGACGCTGCAGAGACCAGGGGCCTCAAACCAACCAATGTTTCTTTGCGATGAACGTCTGCACGTAATAAACGTATGGATAAAGGCGTCCGCCGCTCAACTCACCGTATCACCCTGCAGCCTCCATGAGATTTTCCCTTTCCTCTTCCCCCCCTTACATTTTTATTTTGTTTTGCTATGGAGGGGGGAGGGATCAGGAGGCACGAAGGGAAAGACACAAAGAAGGAATAAAAAGAAAGCTAAAAAAAGAAGTGTGGGTCTTCGCACGACGCATGATTTAATTAAAAGAAGAACCCCTCACGGTGCGCAGACCCTTGCGTTTTAGCTGATTCCAGATGTAGTCAAGCTGACACCCAGGAGTAGCCATCACGCCGGTGCACAGGATTGACAGCTGGAAAGAAGCAGGGGGCGGGGCAGGTTCTCACCTAGCAGGAGAGACCCAACATCTGGGCAGAGAGCAGCCAGGCCGTCTGTGATGGCTCCCCCTCCCCCCTTTCCCCCCTTTCCCCCCTTTCCCCCTTTCCCCCTCCCCCTCTCCATTTCATGGACTGCTCAGGGCCTCGCAGGGCCTCGAGGAAGCCGCCCTCTGTGTTCCTACCTCCCCCCTTTGCCCTCAGCACCACGCACCACGTAGGGCTGCCTAAGCGCTGTCGCTGGAGACCCACTAATTGCAGTGAGATGAATGACTCCCCATCTTGTCCTCACCATTAGGTCTATGGGACTCAGGGGCCTCCTTCCCCGCCTCCCGCCGCCCAGTTACCACAGAGCTTCCTCCTCCCCAGCCAAGCCTCAGGGGCGGCCGAGAGCTGGTTTTTATGAAATCTTTTGTCTCTGTCTCCAATTCTTCCTCTCCTCTGCCTCCCAAGATCCCTTCTGGGCAGGAGCCACTGTTCCCCTGTTCCCAAGGCCTCGTGTCCTGGGTGCCTTTTTGGTTTACTGACGAGAATGCCCTGTTAAAATCAAAAGTGGGTTAGTTGACGCAGTAGCTATGCCTGACTTTCACAGAGGGCTTCCCTTCTGGTCTTCAGAAGGCGAGTTGCTTTTGGTTATGGTGTTTTATTGCGGCAGTGGAAAGCCTAATGAAGACAGAGGTCGGGGTTGGCAGGGTTGGCTTCAGCTTACAACTCTCAGGTCACATTTTCAGTGGGGCAGGGGAGGCTGTGGGTCGTGAACCCTTTGGGGTTGGAATGTCTCTTTCACAGGGCTCAGGTATCAGGTGTTCACGTTACTATTCATAACAGTAGCAAACTTAGTTACAAAGTAGCAGTGAAAATAATCTTACAGTTGGGGGGGTCTGTATTAAAGGGTCACAGCACTAGGAAGGTTGAGAACCCCTGCAATAGAAAGTCTGTTAAGCTGCCCAGCGACTACACTGGGTGTTCAGGATCCCAGGGCAGCCCTGAGCCTTCCTCGGGGTGAGATTTTAAGCACAAAACCACATCCTGGGTTGACATTCTTCAGTCAAGAAGTCCAGTTAGCCAAGGCAGAGCTGCAGAAGCCAAAAGGCAAGGTTAGACCATTGAGAGGCTTTCCCAGAACCATGGGTTTTGGTGGATTATGTCTAGGTTGGTGGTGCTGTCTACGCGTTGAGTTTTACTACCTGAAGGGCACTTCCATCATGGCGTCAGTCAGTTGTGCTAAGGCCTGGAGCCCTGTTACAAAATAACTCTGGCTTTGTCACATTAACTTACAGCTGACCTGATAATCTTCCAGTGACCTTCCAGGGAGGCATCTGAACACTCCCCAACCCTGTAAGGGAGAACGCGGAGAGGCTCAACATCCAATACCGGTCACACAGCAAGCAGCCAAGCCCGGTCTCTGACTCCAGTCCAGTTCTCTGAGGACCTTGCCTGAGGATACCTGGTCGTCAGGGTCGGCCTCTCTGGACTCAGACCTAGCATGAAACACGCTCTGGCTGTGTCTGCTAGCGTTTCTGGAGAGGCTTAGCTACCACTGCTCAGTCTTTGGGATAAGATCAGAGTGGAAAGGTTTCACTGAAGAGGGAAGACCTACCTTGAGTGGGCAGCATCATCCCCCGGGCTGGGATGTGGGCTGGGGGTGGGTCTTGCACGACATGAAGTGAGCTGAGCACAGACATCCATCTCTCTGCTCCCCGCCTGCAGATGCAGTGTGACCGGCTACCTCACACCCCTGCCTGGGACCTCCCCACCAAGACGGACTGTGCCCTCCGAGTGTGAGCCCGGATAAACCCTTCTTTTCCTAACTGACCCAGCATCGTAGCTGTACATGTGCCCCATGTGTGAGGCTGGGAGCTGGCAACGTGGCCACTTCAAGAGTCAATGAGTCAAGGCATGCTGGCAGGCAGGCTTGTCAGGGCGACAGTCACCAGAGTCGTTTCTTAGGGCTGGAGACAGCCCCACCCACTGGCAGAGTGCTTGCCTCATGGGCACACGGCTCCAGCCTCACTCCTCAGCACCTCATCCGCTACAGGAGCGTGACTGTTGTCCCAGCACTTGGGAGGCACAGGAAAGGGGATTGGAAGTTCAGTCATCCTCAGCACGCAGTGAGTTTGACGCCAGATTGAACTACATGTAGAGGCTCAGTTTCAGAAGCACGACAGACCAATGAGACGGTTTGGTGGGTACAGGCATTTATTGCCAAGCCTGATGACCTGAGTTTGAGTTCTGGGACCCACATGATGGAAGGAGAGAATGGGCTACTGTAAGCTGCTCTCTGATCTCTACATGTGCACGAAACACATACATGTATGCATGTGCACACACAAAAATATAAATGAAAAAGTAATGAGGCAATGAAGACTCCATTTTTTCCCCTTCTGGGATGCAGTAAGGACCCCACTACCGCAGTCTTTCAAAGCTGCATGCTGGTGCGGGTCTCTGGACTAGTGATGTGTGACCGGATGCATGGCCCTGGCTCACTCACCGCAACTCGCTCCCTCACCCACGAGCACACACCACGATGGAGCTGCAGCCTCTGTGGTGCTGGGATGCCTTTCCTGCTTTTCCACCCGAGTGACATACCCATCAGTGTGCCACACACCGCAGGCTCCAGCCCCCGTCACCGTCACCCCAGCTTCGCCCCTCAGATTGCTCTCTGCACTTTAGCCCAGCAGCGGCCACGTGAGTTTGCCGTGTGAGCTCACCAAACGGAGGCTCCCGGGCAAGCCGCAAAGGCTCTCACAGGAAGCAAACACCAAACTGAAAGCAGAGGGCACAGGGCCGGAGGTTGGAGTCAGGGAAGCCAGTTGGGGGCAGCTTTCAGGAGGGCAGTGGGTTGCACGCAGCAGGGAGGAGGAGACAGGCAGGAAGGGTGGGAGAGCAGCCACGCGAGAAGCCTCGGGGCTGACGTCTGACATCGGGCATGGCGCTTTGGGTGTTACTGAGACAGCCAAGCTCACACAGAGCTTGTGGGTGTCGGCGGTGGCCAGGGAATAAATGGGGCCTGGGCGGAGCGAAGCAGGTGGGGGTGACACCATGAAGCATCTGCACATCGAGGACTTGGAGCCTCCTCATGTCTGGGAAGCAGAAAGGACACAAGCTTCCCTGCAGGAAGCAAGAAACAGGAAGTCCACAGCCAAAGTTAAGATGCAGGCGCCTCAACCATACTTCGCTGCGCCTCCCGGCAGGAGGTGGAATCCGTGTCTCTTGCCTGTGGCCTGGCCTTGTGATCTACTGTGGACAAGGGAATGCAGTGGAGGGGGCATGGGGGTGCTGAGTCTCAGGGTCTAGCCTTAGACTCCCCTCTCCAACATTTGGTCTCATCCTGCCCCTCCCAACGTCCATCGGAACAGTCGCATTCTCTGTCCCGAGCTAAAGCTGGTGTTGGAGACAGGTGGGACAGGGCACGCGGCATGCCTGGGAGACACTCAGGATTCTCCAGAACGCAGCAAGTGTACCAGGCCAGAGGCTCCAGCCAGGCTTGTCGTCACCTGGAATCCAGTCCTCAGAAGGTGGAGGCAGGAGGATCAGGGAACAAGAGTTGAAGTCCAGCCTAAGCTGCATAGTGAGTTCAGGGTCATTCTGGGCTACATGAGACCCAGTCTTAAAGGACACACACACACACACACACACACACACACACACTTACACAGAGCTGGGCGGTGGCGCACGCCTTTAATCCCAGCACTTAGAGGCAGAGGCAGGCAGATCTCTGAGCTCAAGGCCAGCCTGGCCTACAGATGAGTATCAGGGGACAGGGGAGTAGGGATGGGAGGGTGGAAGGGAGATTGCAATATTGCTGTGTTGTTGGGAAACAGTCCTGGGCAAGTACCACCCCGCAGAAGGGACTTCCTCATTGAGACTGTGTGCCCACACTTGCGTCACGGAGGCAGAGGTGGCTTTGATTTCGTAACATGTAGTGATCACACATCACGATTCACAGTATATCTTGCCTAATGTTCTTGGGCCTATGTGGTCTTTTCCTGAACGTCAGGGGAACTGTGCAAACTTAGGATTTACGTAATGGGTGGTCTAAGTTCTCTGAAAGTCGGTTTCTAAACCATAGTCGGCGGGCTGAGGATCTTCCTCCTAGGCTTTCGGGGTAAGTGTGAGACAGCGGACCCCTCCATGGCTGTCACCAGGCACTTATGGCTGCACTGTGTAAGGCGGAGGCCTTCTGGGGTCCGAGAGTCTGATAGTGTAGTGTCAGCTCGGGGGCAGGCATTCTCGCTGGAAGATAGAGGCAGGAGGATCACAAGATCAGGGTTACAGTTGCTCCGTGGGGAGCACATTTGAGAGCAACCACACAGGACAGCAGGAAGCCTGGGGGGGGGCAGCTCACTCTGCTGCCTCTTGTGAACTGAGGGCCCCCTGAGGGAAGCACCCCAGTGTCCCAATGACCTCTCACGAGGCTTCATCTCTCCTTCTAAAACAGTTTATCATATTTATTTATGGGGTGGGTACACGTGCCTTAGTGTGTATGTGGAGGGCAGAGGGCAACTTTTGGGAGCTGTTTTCTCCTCCTACCATGTGGGCCCTGTTAGTGTCCAGGCATCTGCACCAGCCTGACCCTGGGGTTCTGGCAGGACACGCCCTCAGCTGCAGCCACTGAGAGCACCACCTGTGCACAGTCACTGCGTTCCCTTTTAAAAGGGCCCAATCAACCTCCCATCATCATCATCATCCTCCTCTCTCTCTCTCTCTCTCTCTCTCTCTCCCCTCCCTCCCTCTCTCTACTTCCCTCCCTCTCCCTCATTCTCTCTCCCCTCCCTCCCTCCCCTCTCTCTCTCTCCCTCTCTCTCTCTCCTCCCTCTCTCCCTCCCTCTCCCTGCCCCCCTCTTTCCCTCTGCCTCTCTCTTCTCTCTTGTGCTGCTCCTGTTCCTGGAGGCCCGACTCCCCCTTCACCTCTCCCCCTTTTTATAATTCCTTTCCCAACTAAAAACCCCTCTACTTGAACTCTGCCACATGGCATCTTTCTCTTTCAAATCTCTTTGTTGTAATTTAAAAAGCGGCGGCACATGTAACAGAGCTTGGGTGGATGGGTGGACGGGTTTTTTTCTTTTTTTTTTCCTGGAGGAAGTGAATGGGAAAAGTGGGGGTGGGGGAAGGAGACCAGTCTCTGGGGACAGGAATGGCAGAAGAAAGAGAGAGAGAGAGAGAGAGAGAGAGAGAGAGAGAGAGAGAGAGAGAGAGGCAGAGAGAGAGAGAGAGGCAGAGAGAGAGAGGCAGAGAGAGAAGAGGAGACAGGAGGTGGGCAGGGCCCTTTTAGAAGGGAACACAGTGAATGTACACAGGGGGTGCTCTCAGTGGCTGCAGCTGAGGGCATGTCCCGTCAGAACCCCAAGGGTGGTCTGGTACAGATGCCTGGACAGTAACAGGTTCCAGGAATCAAACTCAGGTCATCATGCTTAGGGCATCTTTACCTGCCGATCCACCTCAACGGCCCGAGGCCTTGTCTCTTAAAGGGGCACCCTCACAGCATCAGCACACCTGGGACCTAGCACCCACAACACAAACCCCAGGGAGACACACTCTAATCATATCCAACGGCAGCGAGTCCCCATGGGCAAGAGTTGGGAATCTTCAGCCACGTTTCACATCTTGCCTGCATTTCTCGCTGTGGATAAGGCTGGTCGCCCCTTCCAGAAGGTACAGCGAACAAAGCGGGTTGTGGGTGGGCTTCTCTGGACTGTGTATGTCATTTCCCCTTCTTTGTCCCCATGGGCATCTGACTCAGTACAGCAGGACTTAGCTGCGAGTCCTTCTGGCGAAGGTCTAAACGTGTGACCGATCCCTGGGACTCTAAAACAGCATGTTCTAGGAGGAAAGTGCATGGACATCTGGAGGGTGACAAGATCTGGCTAACACGGCCCCCAGGAACAGAAGAACACACAAGGAGGCACCCCCGGAGACACTCACAGACCTCAGGCTATGCACACAGTTCTGGAGGCGGGAGTCCAGGCGGACGGGACCCGGTGAGGGTTCCTCCTGGAGCCTTGAATGGTGGGAGGGGAGAGGGGCGGAGGGTACAGGCACCTTGTCCTCGCCGTGTGGGAGAGATGGGAGAGGGGAAGGCCCCGGGTGCTCTCTCCATCCTCTTTCCCAAGGGATCCCTTACTGCCCTCATGTGAGGGTGGCCTGTGGCCTGGTCACCTCTCCCAGAGCCCTGCCTCCTCATGTCACCTCCGTGAGGTTTGAGATTCAGCACATGAACGCTGGAGGGACACACACAGTCACGTCAACACCAGCTGGGCTTCTGAAAGCTTTGAGCAGAGTGTCTGAGTTCTCACCAGTACAAAGAGACCCGCGGTGCTGTCAGTTCTCGGTACCGCCGTCCAGGCTTTGGTAGACCAGAGTGAGGCAGGAGAGGCTGAGTAAGGGATGGACCCCCCCAGCCAGCCACATTCCTCCTTCCTGCGCTGTGGGTTCTCATGGCATGAGTTTCACACGCTTACAGCAAGCATGCCTTACCTCCTCTTCACAGGACTCCCTTCACCACAGCGAGGTGACATCAGCAGACGCCACAGCGAGGTGACATCAAGTGTGGGAAAACCCTGGCGCAGGCAGCATAGGCAGCATAGGCAGGCCGTGGCACCCTCCCTGCTTGAGGCCGTGACGAAGACCAGAACACCCACAAGGAATGTGCGGATTCAGCAGGAATTAAGTCAGCGTATACACCTGGCAGAGAACCAAAGGCACACCCAAACCCAGCCCCGCCACGCTGCAGTGAGCCCGTGACTCTGCTCAGAGTCTTTACACTTCATTTGCTAGTATAAAACATGCCTGGGGACACCCGGAGCACAGCCAACTCCTGTCCTTCAATCCGAGAAGACGCTACGGGCGCCAAAACCAGCTATGGGCTGTGTGACAGAATGTTCCAGGAATGGTGGCATAAATTACCAGAGTCCTGGTCCAGCCAGGTGGCTCCTAATGAGACATTACTGCTGTCAGCTCTGGCTAAACCAGGCCTCTCCTGAGGACTGGGAATGTGACGAAAACTCGGGAGAAGCCCACCCTTGCGATGACCGTCCTGGACCTGTGGCTATGGAGACCCCACCTGCCAGCTGGTTCTCCTTGGCTCTGAGATGCCAGACGGCAGCTTGCACTGAGCTGTGGTCTTGCCCGTGCCTGCTGGGCTGATGTTTGGAGCCCGTTCCCTGGCCTGATCCCACGGGATAGAGTTGGCACGCCATCACCTTGTGGGCCCCGGGTCTGGCAGAGCCCAGTCACCAGGTCCCTCCACCTGGGAGCCCAGTCACTCTGCTCCTCCACCTGGGAGCCTCCCACCTGCTGCTCGTGTGACAGTCACTAATGGGAATGTCTGGCCAGACAGCCACCACCAGATATGTCACCCTTCCCCTAAACATCTGCACCCCTTGTAGATCCTTTATGCAATGCCGAATCTGGGGTCCCACTGCAGACACCGTGACATACACAATAGGCAGAAAGCCCAGCTAGGACAGTGCTCCCGGGACAATCAGCCAGGTGTCAGCCAATCAACAGCTGGCCAAAGACCGTCAGCTGTCCGAACCATAATGCGAATGTCACCAGCTGTCGCCAGTATGACCATCCTCCTACGTGTTTCCTCCCTGTCCCCCCACGCCCCATTTTCTGTCCCCAACCATCCTCCTCGCTAAGCCTGTCCATTATGATAGATTCGTAAATAAAAAGCCAAGCGAGAGCTGCAGCTTTGCTGTCCCTCTGTCACCCTTCAGCAGGTCCCCAGCCCCCGAACATCCACCAGATAGGTCCCCGGTGTCCAAGGACGCTGGGCTCAGGAAGCAGTATCCCTCCCGTGTCAGCGCTGGGACATGGCAGGCGTGAGCGGCAGGTGCCTCAGTGAGTAGGTGGGGACACAGGGGCCCCCTCTTCATGCCCAAGTGAGTGAACAACGATCAGCAAAGTTCCTCCTGGGGAGAGAGGCCCACAGAAGGCAGACACAGGGCTGTCCTCTGGGTCCCAGTGGGCTGGGAGGGCTTCTCGATTTAGAAACAAGAGAGGCAACGGGAACAGCCGTGTCTGCAGGAGCCCAACTCTGGGAGACCAGCAGAGAACCATGCGCCAAACTGTCCAGTGAGCTGCAGCCCGATGCCACCAGAGACCTCGCCACTCCATCCCGTCACCGTGTCCCCAACAGCCTGCAGGTGTGGCCACTTAGGCCTGGGAGGGGACAGAGGACCACAGGAGCAGCAGGACCTCCCCTGCCAGCCAGAGGTACTTGAATGGGAGCCGACATTTATCTAAGGGCAACAAAGTTAAAACAGTTGGTTATCAGTGTGTGTGGGGAGGGTGGGGAATGCCTGACAGACTTGTTTACAGGTTAAGTTAAATTTGGTTTTCTTGTTGCTAGGCAGGAGACAGGCACTGTCAACAAGGCTGAGGAAGCATAAAAATAGATCCCCATGCACGATTGCATGCAGCTGACTGGGGAAGGTGGATCCGCACCCACCTTAAGTCAGAGAGAGGCAGCACACCGGCCAAGCCTGTGCCAGCGCGACCCAGACCAACTGCACCATGGAGCAGCCCTGCCAACCCCAAGGAAAACACACCCAGAGACAAACACAGAATTCAGCTGCTTGAAAGATCAAGGGGCAGAAGAGGCGGTTCGGAATCTAAAAGCACACACACGGCCTCATACAGAGGACCCGAGTCTGGTTTCCAGAACCCTGGTTCTGAGGTTTACAACTACCTGTAACTCCAGTTTTGGGAAACCTGATGCCCTCTTCTGGCCTCTGTAGGTCACTGCACCCATAGGCAAGCTCGCGCGCGCGCGCGCACACACACACACACACACACACACACACACTTAAAAATAAATAAACCTTAAAAGAAAATAAAAGAACTAGCAAGCTGGGTATAGTGGCACATGTCTGTAAACCCAGCACTCAGGTGGTAGAGGCAAGGGGATCCTGACTTTGAGGTCAGCCTGGGTTTAAGACCCTGTCTCAAAAAAACACAAAACAAACAAAAATCAACAAATGGCCAAAAGATAAGTGAAGATAAGAGAAAAATGCTAATTAGGATTGAGACTATAGATATGACTCAAATATGCAGGTTTAAAAAAAAAGATCTGTATAGACCCTTCCATTCAATAACTGCTTATTCTACAGTATCTTCCATATCTTCAATTGGTTTCCCCAACCATGTGCTCCAGAGCTCCCCCAGAAGCCTGGAAAAGCGGAGTCCCACCTCCCCTTGGACTCTATACCCACTACAAGCTCTCCCTGGATCCCTGTGCACCCAGACCGCAAGGCATCAACACAGGCTCAGACAAGAATGTGGATCCCAAGGGAGGCATGGCATGTGAACCAACCAAGCATCCTAGGAAAAACGAGACACCATCCATGAAGGGTGCCCTCCACCCCATGCTGAGTTCAATTGTGCCCCCTCCTCCCCCACACTCACAGGCTGAGGTGCTAGCAGGGGACCATATCTGAAAGTAGCATCAGTTCGGCAGTGGCCAAGATGAGATCACGCTGTAGTTGGTGGGCCCAGATCCAACGTGGCTGGCGTCTTTACCCAAAGGGAAAATGTGCTCACACGCAGGAGGACGCCACATGAATATGCAGTCAGAGCTTAGGCAACAGAAGCAACAGCCTCCAGAATCCCAGGTCACCTTACAGGTTGTGGCAAACCTCCTGGGCACAGGCGATGTCCATGCCTTTAGGGCGGCACACTCGGGACCTGAGCGGGGCACATTCGTGAGTGTGCCGGGCACACTGTGTGGCCCTGGGAATTGTTTGAGGTGGGTGAGTAGCCATCATCATGTGTTAGCACCATTTCAACAGCCTGGAGAGTGAGGAGAAGGAAAAAAAAAGCCACTCATCTATACCTTTTGAGTCCCGACACTTGATTTTGCTTGGCTACGTGTGAGGGTGAGGTCCACACAGTGCACAAGATTGCCAGATTCCATCTGGAGAGCAGGAGGGACTGGCTGGCAACACCCTGCACTTGTGTTCCCACCCACAGAGCTCCCAGTCATGGGGAAGTTAGACCGTGATTGTGTGCAGGCCCAGCACGTGCATCCGAGTGTGAGACGGGAGGAAACGTGGACCAGCGTGCCTTGGGCTGCAGTCTATTGAGAGCACCATGAATGGCTCTCTGGGTCCATCCAGTGCTGTCTGAAGGGGACGGACAGACGGACGGATAGACGGACGGATGGACGGACGGACAGACAGACAGACAGACAGACACACACACACACACATACACGTAGAGCCTCGAGGACTGGTCTCCAGAGGCTTTAACAGATGCCGGCTGAGAGTGGGTGTTTGGGTTCCCCTTAATTCTTATATTTTTGGCTGTGAGCCTAGCCTTTCGCTGAGCCATCTCTCCATCCCGAAGTTCTCCTTAATTCTAACTTTCCCTTCCACGAACCTTAAAAGCTTCCCTGTGCGCGTGTGTGGCGTGTGCTCAGCGTGCAAGTGTAAGAGGGCAGCCTGGGGGCTGGTCCTCTCCTTCATCCCCTTTGAGATGTGGTTTTTGTTGCCTGCCGCCCTGGACTCCAGGTTAGCTGGCGCATGAGCTTCTAAGTGTTGTCCCATGTCTGCCGGCCTCCTCACCACGATAATGCTGGGATTACAGACGTGCACTACCATGTCTGTTTTTCTTCGGGTTCTGGGGAACTAAACTCAGGTCCTTGATGGGGGGGAACGTTCTTCTGTGTTTATGTTTCCCCTATTGGTTGATGAATAAAACACTGATTGGCCGGGAGATAGGCAGGGCGAGAAGAATGCTGGTGGGGGGGGGGAGAGTACACGTTGATAGTCCTAGCATTTGGAAGCTCGAGTTCAAGGACATCTTAGCTACACAGCAAGACCCCAGCATAAGGGGGGACTGGAAAAAAAAAAAAGAAGACGACCGCATCCCAGAAGGACTCCAACACAAGGGTGTCCCAGGAGGACTCCCTGCCTCCCTTGCTTTCAAAGGAAAGGGACGCCTCTCACTAATTTGAGATGCAAGGAAGGGAAACAAGATGTACCGTAGTGGGGAAGACACATGAGTCATTCGTTTAGAATAATTTGTTGTTAAAGTCAGGGATCTAACCGCCAATGATCCCACTTACGTCTGCATAATTTAACCGGCAAAACAAAACCCTGACCTCAGCAGGCGGCCAGGCACGGGCGGCCGGGCGTCTCTCAGCTCAGCGCAGAACAACAGGGCAGGCTTTCCCAGCAGAGCTCACTCTTCCCAACACTGGACCGGGCTGCCAGGTGACCTGGCACAGGGACTTCCACCCAGGAGGCCTCTGTCTCCTCATCCCTCAGACAATTCTTGTAACACAAGGCCTCTCTGCTCTCTGCACTAGTGGGGGGACCTAGGGTCCCCTTGCTTGTCCTCAGCTTCCTGGTTTGTTATAACAGGTCTCACGGTCCGTTATCTCCTGGGTAGTGAGTTCTGCCTTGGCTGGGCGTTAATTCAGTCTCTCACATGTAATGAGTTCTGACTTTTCCTATTCTGCTTCTTGTTTTGTACTGGCTTCCGGGAAGCTGGGGCGGGGGCTATCCCGTCTGGGGACTAGGCTCTCTTGCACATACCTCAGTAGTCTTGAGCTTAATGCCCGCGTTAGGTGGTAGGAGCAGGGTTAACTATGTGCTGTGTCTGGGCAGCTGTGGCTGTCCTCTTCACTGCAGCCCCCAGGCCCATGAAGAGGGCTAACGGAACACCATGCCTGCTCACATCAGAGGGTAGACTACAGTCTTTCTAAGTCCGTCTTGAAGAACCTCTGCTGGCTTGGACGGTCATTGGTAGACTCTTTTGTGTTTTCATCTAGAGGCTTCTTGGCTTTACGTCGGAGATCAAGTCACACCCCATCTTGACACATTTTGGAGTGTGTAGCATACTCATGTGGTTGGTCCCCATGCTTCTTGTTGAAAAGGCCTTGCTGTCCCTGCTGGATTACCTCAGTGACTTTATTGGGCGCCGAGTGACAACAGACCTCATTAGATCACGATGGGGATCTGCCTTCGTCTGCTGCTTTTCTCGTCTTTCAGCTGTTATGGTCCTAGCTCTGCGTGTGCCTCGTTGTTTTCAATGTGAGGGGCAGTGTGGGCAACATGGAGGCGCTCTGGGCTAGGCTGTTTTTCTGTGAAGAGCTAAGATGCGATCTCATTGGATTTCCTCTCTTCTTTATTAGGGAGCTCTACTTTGGGTTTGAACATGGTCTTGGGAAGAAGTTCTCCTGAGACAGGAGATACCTGGGGTCACACCTCATGTAAAGCCTCTCCCTTGGGCCTTGCTGACAGCTGACAGCCTGCCTTCTCTGGCGTATCTAACCCTCCAGCATCACACTCGCTGCCCGGGACCCCAGACGCCTCTGCTAACCCCTGCACACCTCACAGCTCAGACCTCAAACGAAGACCTACAGCAAGCATCCTTGCAGACTTCCAGACCGTATCCTTTTCCCCGTGACCCAATTTAATAGGCCAAGGCGCCCGGCGCTCCCACATCAGCCTGTCAGAACACCCCTCTTCTCAGGTGTCACCTTCCAAACAGAGGTGCAAAAATGCCCCCATGCAGGGCGCTGGGCTCTATCATCTCCGGGCTCTTCTGCTCTCAGAACCACAGCCCTTGCTCATCCAGTGCCCGGTCCCTCTTATCTCGTCCCTCTCCCCGGTGTGAAAGCCAAGCACCAGGTACCCATCATTCCCCTGCACGCACAATGACAGGCTCTCCCGGAGC